CCGCATTGTTCGTCCGAGCCGTCACGACAATCCCTGTCACTATCACATTGCCATTCCTTTGGGATACATTCGCCTGTCCCGCACCGGAAGTGAACGCCATTGCACGTATTCTGTGGTTGCGGTGTTACCGTTTTTGTTTCTGCAGTATAAACATAAACGAGTTAGACATAGTATACTCATATGTAGTTGCCAGTATCTTATATTTATTATAAAAGAAGTTTGACTATTCAGTAAGTCTGGGATAATAAAAACTGAATCGTATCCTCTCTCTCGTCAAAGGTACTATATACCCCCTGCACACTTTTTGTCCCATTCGTTTCCTCCACTCGCCTCTTCCCCAGGGATACTTACTACAAAGCTCTGGAGCCTCGTCCTGACCGTCCGGGCAGTCCTCCGCCCCATCGCACACCCAGCTTTCCAGGAGACAAAGCCCATTGATGCACTGAAAGTCCGTCCCCTCGCAGTTCTGGCCGTCTACAACAGATGAAGGGGGACAACTTGTACAACGTTAGCCGTTACAAGCAGAGAACAGTCACTATTTATTCACGCATTGAGTTTCAAACTTTAATATTGGCTTATCAGTTTACCATTATTTACCAGTGGTTAGACAGATATACGTCTCCATACATATGTTAAGAAACGTTATTACCAATGGTCAAGCAAGACGAACGTTACCCCCTCAGACATATTAGAACATAAACTTACCCGTGGTTAGGGAGAGAAAAAGAAGTGAACTGCAGAAACAGATAAAATTCCAGATCTATAAATAAAAGAAACAAATTTGAATGAAAAACGGCCCCATCGTTTAGTTGCAGAAGTAATGATTAGCGTTGACTGTTTTAGCAGTGACACCTATAATTCTATTGATGAGTGTTTAGGTACAAGATGGTCATGCATATCATTACTGAACATTATACAGTTAATGTTTCCCAAGGCTAGCAGTACAGGAATTATATCCATCAAGTGGAGACAATTACCGAAACCCCATACTTTAACTGTTTTAGTATAAAGCGGTTTACGAACAAACCATTTTTATCAGCAATATTCCACCCACAATTCCCTAAAACCTACCGAGAACCGTATCTCCTCTAGTACCTGCGCTTTTCTTTGGATAAAAGA